ACAAGAAGACTACAAGATGCTACACTTATTTTAAATTAGATTCATCTTTGTAGAAATACGTAAAACACAAGAGTTGTTGCTAGATTGTGTTATTTCTTAAGATCTTCATGTAAATTGTTTGTACACAAGAGTTGTTGCTCAAAATTGTGTCAAATAATATGTACTTAAATTGGGAGTAATCTGCTTGATAAGAAGCACTCATATAATATCCAGAAAAACCATTCCGTTTAGAATTGGCTGGCACCTCAAGTGATCGAGTGGAGATCAGAAGACTTGAGAAGATTTTGTTTGTGGCCATTGTAGATGAAATCCTGGTAGTGGGTTCTATTGTGTCAATGGTAGTCATATCTCAAATGGGACTGAGTGAAGGTCAGCCTTCTAAGATCACTAATGGATATCATCGAAAGGAAATTCTGATAGAAGAATATGGGGAATCAGATTCTGTTGGGTTAATGAACGTTATATTCGATTTGGATCCCTTAACGTTTCATTAGATGTTAGTCATTGACGGTTGCTCGTGTGATTGTAATCAGATTGATTATAGTGGATTAAGTTCTTGAGTTCAAGGTGAAATCACCTCGGAAGGATGGCCTAGATTAGCTTGAGGGTTTCTCAAGTGAACCGTGATATATCGCGTGTTCTTTACTTTTGCTTATGCTTTAGAGTTTGTTTTCTGAACCAAAATAGAAGCATTAAATAGAAGCAACAATCAGAAGCATTGTTCAACAAATACTTCTTAGAAGCAAAAGTTTTACAAGAAAGGAAAACCCAATTCAAACCCCCATTTCTTGCGTTTTCTTCACACCTTCACAGACTGCAGTGAAATCCAAAGAATTTTCAAAGTCGAAAGATTTGAAGATTGAAGATAGTGGTGAAGGCTTAAATGTGTCAAGAGGAGGAGGTGAGCGTAAAAGGATTTCAAAATCAAAGAGGTTTGACAAGTCAAAGGTAAAATGTTTTAATTGTCAGAAAATCAATCACTTTAAAAGGGACTGTCCTGAGAGAAATTTCAATGAAGCTTTTGTTCAAGTTGCAGTTGCCTTGGGTGAGGAAAGTTATGAGGATGTCGATGCACTAGTAGTGTCGAGTTTGGAAACTGAAGATAGTTGGGTCATTAACTCATGTTACTCTTATCACATGTGTCCAAGAATATAATACTTTGAAACTTTGAAGATGGTGCAAGGTGGAGTAGTTCGCCTTAGTGATAATAAGGTTTGTAAAGTTTATGGTATTGGTACGGTCAGACTTAAAATGTTTGATGATCGTGTACTTCGTATTCATAATGTGAGGTATGTTTCAGAACTCAATCGAAATTTATATATATATATATATATATATATATATATATATATATATATATATATATATATATATATATATATATATATATATATATATATATATATATATATATATATTTGATGATCTAGGCTATTGCACTAGAGTTGAACATGGAGTGTTGAAGATTTTGCGTGATGAATTGATTATTGTTAAAGGATCTAAAATATGTGGTCTATATATTTTATAAGATTCAAATGTTGTTATTTATTCATCGTTAACTAGTGGAGGCTTTCATGACAAGGAAGAACTCTGAGATTTGAGTTTAAGGCATTATGAATGTCTTGAGAAAGTTTTAGAGGAGTATAATGAATTTTGCAGAAATCAAGGGATAAAAATGCATGTTACCGCTGAGTTTTTATTGAGTTTCTGGGGAAGAGTTGAGGTTAAAACAACTTACTTGATTGGTAAAAAAATTCTTCAGAGGGAGAATAGTGAAAACTAAGGGAGAAATCTGTCATAAACTATAACGAAGAAAACTCAGTTTGAGGTAGAGTTTTCTACTATGGATGCTAGCAATGGTGAGGGAACGATTACAAAGATCTTTGATTATCATTTGACTCATGATAAGGTAAGAAGGATTATTGTAGCATCTCAAAGGAACGATTATGCTAGCCTTGGATATTATGTTTTGAATGTGGCTGAAGGATTACCAAATACAAAAAGAAGAACCTTTAGAGAGGCATTTGAAAACAGGTGGAGTCAAGGGTGGTTGAAAAATCATACTTGTGGACTTGTTAAATTACCTAGACAGAAAAGGATATTTGAAAACAAGTGGATGCAAGTGGCGAGACCAAGATTCAAGGGTTGTTTGAATTTAATCAAGGTTATTGATTAGAGTTTCAATCTGGTAGAGAGTATCAATGTTGTTGATGGTTAAATTGGTATCAACGCGGTTTTAAGTCAAGATTGAGATTATTGAAGAGTGCCTTAAAACTTTTGTTGATGAAGAGAAATAAAAACATGTTTCGAGATTGCCAAAAAAAAAATCAAAAAATCAAAAAATAATCTTGTCCGAGCGATTTACGAGTATCGGATTCAGTCGGTTCGATTCATTGATCTATTCATTAATGTTAGAATATTTTATATTAATTTAAAGATCATATAAATTAATATAAAAATATATTTTAAGATATTTATAATATTTTAAAAGATATTATAAGATATATATTTATAATATTCTAAATAATATTATAAGATATATACTTATAATAGTCTAAGAGATATTATAAGATATTTATAATATTTGAGAGGTATTATAAGATTATAATAATATCTTTTATTCTAACAATTAAGGAGATATGTTTTGGGATTTGTTATAGATTTGTTGAATTTTGACTATATATATATATATATATATATATATATATATATATATATATATATATATATATATATATATATATATATATATATATATATAGTGTGACAATTTTATAGCTTTAGAGAAAAAGGGAGAAATAAGGATTTAGGAAATTTCAAGGGAAAATTTAGAAAGGAAAAAGTTTTTTGGGAAACCTTTGGAGTTATCTAAGGTGATTTGAAAATACTTTTAAATACCTTGAATTTGAGTGATTTTTATATTGAGAATTCGAGAGATAGGGAAACACTTGGGTAGAAAATAGAGTTTGTTCTTTGGTAACTTGCGAAGACTATTTTCTTGTAACTTATATGTAATCTCTTGTAACAACTTTTTGAGTATAGTGAATTAGAGAGTTGTTCTCTCCAGAGTAGATCATTTGATCGAATTGGGTAAATAAACTTTCATCTTTTTTTCGCCTTATTTTATTATATTATCTGTGTACTATTATTGTAGACCATTTATTTTAGTTGATATTATTCTTTACCTCACAAATTATAATTGAATTTTGTCATAATTCACAACAAGATTCACAACATTGTTGTTATATAATTATTATTATAAAATCACTAATAACTGTAAATATTTAAAAATAAATATGTATCAAATCACCAACATAATAAATTCAATACGACTAATAAGTATAAATATTTATAAATATCATTAATAACTATAAATATTTACAAATATTTTATTAATTAAAATAAAATAGAGATTAGGGTAATAGCGACCCATGAAAATAATGAATTTTAATAATAAAATTCATAAAAATTAATAAAATTTTAAAATATCACTCTCTCTCTCTCGTTATTTCTTTAGAATATAATAATAAATTAATAATTTTAATAATAAAAATTATGGAAATTATATTACAAATTACAAAATAAAAAACTATAATATAAATCTTTCTAGAGTTGTTGCATAAATATACTGTAACAAAATATTGTTTTTTTATACTTTTTAATGGTAATCAAAATGCAGTAACATTCAAACTGATATCATTTTAAAATCTATTTTAAAACCTTTGAATGCATAAATGTAAATCAATGCTTTGTTTTTTACATAGTTAAAAATTAATGTCAAATACATAGTTTAAATATCCCAAAAACAATTGAAAATTGATCAGTAATAGTATTATTTTATACCCCAAACGGTAAAGACTAATATGTTAAGAGTAAATTTTAATTTAAAATTTTTTATCAAGCTTTAAAAACTTTATCTCATCCAAATATTCTTAAATACATCATTAATATCAAAATTATTATCTATTTTTTTTAAATCGTTGACTCATAATCTTATATCAGTTGACTCATAATCTTACATCAGAAAATGTATATACTAATCAACATTATCAATTTTCGGTTTATCAGTTTATTCCTTTCGAAACAAAGCAACTTGTAAAAATTTATAAACACATAATACTCATTCACACATTTGATCAGTGAGAAGGAATTAGAAGTTTTCAAAAGATATATTCAACGCAAAAGCTCATTATAGTCGCCACATGTATATTTTGGTGGGCATCGCACAAAAAGCATCTTTATTTGCTAATGCTTGAGTATCGAGTCTTAGACACACAAAATATTCTAAAAGATAGGTCACAAAATAATATCTAACGAACTGATTATTAGAGATAGATGTACATAGGTTAGTGATTGTGCATGCATAGGTTAGTGATTGTGCATGTATAGGTTAGTTAGAGTAAGTATGAAATTATTTAAGAATGTAACTAACTTTATCACTCAACTACATTGTATAAATATTCATAAGCTAAGGTTTATTCAATAGCATGTGATCACAAATGTATCAAGAAAAGCTTGATCTTTACATTCTCTCTTCCATGCAAAACTATGTTTATCAATGGAGGTTCAATTATCTCTTATAACATGGTATCATTCGCCTAAGGGGACAATTTCATTCTGTTGCATTATCATCATCATGGCTATCGTATTCCTCTCGACGGTGGGTGCAAGTTGCTTCAAAGAAACATCTATCCGAAATTTGCAAAAGAAAGATTCAAAAAATCTTGGTGTATGTTTCTTCAAAGAAGCATTGGAACTGTACTGCGACCTAAAGAGCATAATATCTCTGTCGTAATCGATCGCACCAAAGAAATCATCCACAGGTTCAAATGCATTGATTTCAAGTGGAGATTAATCATACAAGTGATTCCGCCAACGTACGCTAAGAGACCAAGAACAAGTAACGAACAGCACGGTCACACCACGGTGAAATCAAGTATTCATCGCTTCGATGTAATGTTTCACAAGAAACACAAAAACATGGCTATTTTCCATTTGTAATGGAGAAAGCGAAAGAAGTTCAACAGGAACAGAAGACACTGAAGCTTTTCACTCTCACGAATAATAGAGTGTTGAAAAGATTCAGCAGTATGTGGCAATTTATGGCTCTGGATGATACTGCTACGTTTGAGATGTTAGCGATGGATAATAAATTAAGAAATATGATACATTTGGATCTGTTTTTGGAGCTTAAGGAGTTGTATAAGAGTGTTGGTAAACCTTGGAAAAGAGGTTATTTGTTGTATGGTCCACCAAGGTGTGGTAAATCAAGCTTGATTATTATTGTGGCTAGTTACATCGCTTTCGATGTTCATGATTTGGAATTAGGTGATGTTCTGCAAAATACTGAGCTTAGGAGTTTGTTGATGCCAACACGAAATCGTTCTATATTTGTTGTGGAGGATATTGATTATACTCTTGAGCTTCATAACCGTCTTGCATTTACAGTCCCTCCTTGCCTTGCTGATAAGCTGCCGGTGACTTTATGAAGACTCCTCAATTTCATTGATGGTTTATGGTCTAGCTGTGGGGAAGAGAGGATCATAGTGTTCACTGTCAATCACATAAACAAATTGGATCCCGCTCTACTTAGGCTAGGGCGCATGGATTTACATATTTCTTTGTCTTACTGCAACCCGTGTGTGTTCAGAGAGCTAGCTTCGTTGAAGAGAATATGGCCCTTCATCAAGTTCCTTCAAGGATCCTTAAGTATACGAATTGTTACTACTACAAAACTAAAAGTCATAAAATTTCATTTGCATTTGAACATGGTAAGTTAGGTACTAAGCTAGGCATAACTCAGTTCAATCATGTACTTGATACTTGTTATTCGGCTGATTGGACACAACTTTTATGCAAGGTAAAGCAAAACCTATCATGTAAATCGATGTCTTTATTTGCTTAAAATAATCAACTACAGGAAGTAATCCCACAACCATTTCTGCTAAAACCTTTAAAGCCTCTTCAAGTTCAACAATTAGAGACTCATTTCTAATTGCAACATAAACCTCTTCTTCCACCAGATGCTCTTCCATCATCTATTCTTTTCAAAGCAAGTCCACATGAGAATAAAATCAAATAATTACCAAAAGTAAAACATAACATAACATAGCTTTTACAACAAAATAAATAAATAGTATATCATACATTAATTTGCGACACACTTCTTTTGAAAATCCATCAATTTCCCTCGCCACCACCGCCATTATTCCGCCAGACATTCACCAGTGACCAGATTCACAACCATCGTGTTTGAGCTTGCCGTCACCAAAACTGCACTGCTTGGTGGTAGTTCGCAAATCTGTTTCTCATTTCAATATCATTGGTGGCTCAAACAAACCATTGAATAATAAATGTTATTAGTAGTGGGGTTTTTATTAATAAGGTAATGGAAAAGTTAAATATCAAATGTAATTGGAAGGTCAAGAGATAGTGGGTTATAATAATATTTACTAATAGCATTTACTTTCTTAGAATAATAGAAGTTTTTGGGTCTATATAAAGATCAAGATTGTATTTTATTAAACAACAAGTTATAAAAATTTGCTCATTTTCTCTAACAAATTGGTATCAGAGCTGATGGTAAACATGATGAATCAAATGCCGTTGTCACGGCTAACGAAGTCAAATTACGAAAACTAGAGTATACAAATGAAAGCTCTTCTTGGATCTCTAGACGTGTGGGAGGTGACCAGAGATGTGTTTGAAGAACCAACAGATGTTGCGGGACATACGACAACTTAAAATAAGGCGTTGAAAGAGACGCGATTGAATGATAAAACGACATTATACATGTTGTTCATGAATGTTGAGGAATCAGGTTTCGAAAAGATTGCTGGTTCGACTACGTCGAAAGAAGCATGAGACGCGTTAGAGAAAGTGTTCAAAGGAGCAGACCGAGTGAAGCAAGTTCGACTCCAAACTCTTCGTGGCGAATTGGAGAGGATGCAGATGAAGGAGACAGAAACTGTATCTGACTACATCACACGCGTACAAAAGGTGGTGAACCAACTCACCAGAAATAGCGAAATAGTAACTGATGCACGAGTTGTTGAAAAGATCTTGAGATCTTTAACAGATAAATTTGAGAATATTGTGTGTGCAATAGAAGAATCGAAGGACCTTTCGACGCTCTCAGTCGAAGAGCTCGCTGGTTCTCTCGAAGCACATGAACAACGTAAGATGAAAAAGAAGGAAGAAGCAGTCGAAGAAGAAAATCAAACCAAGGATTCGATCAAAGACGAAAATGTACTCTTTTCTCAAAACTTTCGAGGAAGAGGACGTGGCAATGGAGATCGTGACAGTGGTCGAGGCAGCAACTTCGAGAGAGGACATTCGAACCAACAAAATTGGCGTGGCAGAGGACGTGGTCAAAGAGGTGGTTGATCGAACCACTCCAACTTCGAATGCTACAAGTGTGGGAAGTATGGTCATTACGCGAAGGATTGTAATTCCTACAAATGTTATAACTGTGATAAAGTGTGACATCTTGCAAAGGATTGTCGAATAAAAAAGAAGGTAGAAGAAACAACCAATCTAGCCTTAGAAACTGAAGCGAATGAAGGTTTTCTCCTGATGGCTCAAAATGAAATCAACACCAATAATGATAATGTTTGGTATCTTGACTCAGGAGCAAGTAATCACATGTGTGGTTACAAACACCTGTTTAAAGAAATGAAAAAAATTGAAGATGGTAATGTGTCTTTCGGAGATGTATCGAAAGTGAAGGTCGAAGGAAAGGGTACAATCAGTTACTTACAGAAGGATGGCTTGATTGGATCAATCGAAGATGTTTACTATGTACCAGATCTCAAGACCAACATCTTGAGTTTGGGACAACTTATAGAAAAATATGTTTCGATACTTATAAAAGATCGAATACTGCATTTGAATGACAAAGTAGGACATCTGATTGTCTGTGTCGAAATGGAAAGAAATGGAATGTACAAACTGAATCTGAGGAACGTTCGAGAGAAATGTCTACAAGTCGAAATGCAAGACAAACCGTCACTATGGCATATGCGCTTTGGTCATCTACATCATGCTGGTTTAAGAAGGTTGGCGAAAAGGAACATGGTGCACGGGCTACCAGACATGGATTATGAAGGAAAGTTTTGTGAAGAATGTGTGCTCAGCAAACAAACAAGAACCTCATTTCAAAAGAAGGCAGGATATCAAGCTAAACAAATTATCGAATTGATTTATACTGACATATGTGGGCCAATCACTCAAGAATCCTTCAGTGGAAAAAGGTACTTCATTTCTTTTATCGATGATTTGTCACGAAAGACCTGGGTTTATTTCTTGAAAGAAAAGTCTGAAGCATTAGAGGTGTTCAAAAGATTCAAAGTAATGGTGGAGAAGGAAACCGACAGACGTATCAAAGCAGTTTGATCTGACAGAGGTGGTGAGTACACTTCGACGATCTTTATGAAGTATTGTGAAAAGCAGGGCATAAGGAGATTCTTAATTGCACCATATCCACCTCAGCAAAATGGTGTGGCTGAAAGAAAGAATCAAACTATTCTTGATATGATTCGATCAATGCTTAAGAGCAAGAAGACGTCAAAAGAATTCTGGGCAGAAGTTGTACAATGTGCTGTTTATGTTCAGAATTGATGTCCACATTCGAAGTTAGAAGATAAAACACCACAAGAAGCATGAGGCAGACAGAAGCCAACAATTTCTCATCTCAAAGTATTTGGTAGTGTAACTGATGCACATGTACCAGATCAACAAAGAACAAAACTTGAAGACAAAAGTCAAAAGTATATATTCATTGGGTATGATGAGAAGACAAAAGGGTACAAGCTATTCGACCTCATAAGCAAGAAAGTGATCGTGAGTAGAGACGCTCGAACAAACAAAGCGAGCAAGTAAGACTGGAATAATTCGACAGAAGTTATAGACGTAGTCGAAGAATTATTTGTCACTGTACCAACAAATATTTCAACAGAACATGAAGATACTGAAAATGAAAATGAACCTCTACAACCCAGAATGCGAAGTTTGCAAGATTTATATGATTCAACAAATGAGGTACACCGTGTGTGTCTTTTGGAAGATGCTGAAAATATTAGTGTCGAAGAAGCGTTACGAGACAAGAAGTGGAAAAGTGTCATGGACGAAGAGATTAGAGCAATAAACCGCAACAATGCATGGGAGCTAGTCGAATTTCCAAAAGGTAGTAAACCCATTGGTGTAAACTGGGTATTCAAGAAAATGATGAACGCTCAAGGAGAAATAGAGCGATACAAAGCGCGACTTGTTGTGAAGGGATACAAACAGAAAGAAAAAATTGACTATGACGAAGTGTTTGCACATGTTGCAAGAATAGAGACAATTCAATTGCTCATTTCTCAAGTTGCTCAATTCAAGTGGGCAATATTTCATATGGATGTCAAGATAACATTTTTGAATGGTGTGCTCGAAGAAAAAATCTATGTCGGGCAACCAATCGGGTATATGAGGATTGGAGAAGAGATGAAGGTGCTGAAATTGAAGAAAGAGCTATATGGGCTGAAGCAGGTACCACGGGCATGGAACACACGCATAGACACATATTTCAAGGAGAATGGGTTCGAACAATGTTCGTATGAGCATGCCCTCTATGTGAAGAAAAATGGAAGTAATGTATTACTTGTTGCTCTCTATGTTGATGACCTTATTTTTCTAGGCAGTGATGTTCAAATGATAGAAGAATTCAAGAGCACCATGACACACGAATTAGAAATGACAGACTTAGGTCTGATGAGATTCTTTCTTGGTCTGGAGGTTCGACAAGAAGAAACTGGAATCTTTATTTCACAAGAAAAATATGCAAAAGAAATCTTGGAAAAATATAAGATGAAAGGTTGTAATCCAACTTCGACGCCATTGGAACTAGGCGCAAAATTGTCGAAATTTGATGGAGGAGAACGTGTCGAAGTAAGCAAATATTGAAGCTTGGTAGGTAGTCTTCGCTATCTCACATACGCAAGGCAGGATATTTCATTAAGTATCGGCATTGTAAGTTGATTCATGGAGGATCCAGTACATTCACATTGGAAGGCATTGAAACGAATCCTAAGGTACATCCAAGGAACAATGTCATTTGGAATGTTCTATTCAAGAACAGAAGACTACAAGTTAGTTGGTTATTCTGAAAGTGATTGGTGCAGAGATATAGACGACCGAAAAAGCACTCCTGGATATGTGTTCTTCATGGGAAACACCACATTTACTTGGCTTTCTAAAAAGCAACCAATAGTAACACTTTCGACATGTGAAGTTGAATATGTGGCAGCATCTTGGTGCGTTTGTCATGCAGTATGGCTTAGAAGATTGATGAGCAAAATATAGATAAAACAGGAAGGTGCAACAGTAATACAAGTGGACAATAAATCAGCAATCGAGTTAGCAAACAATCTAGTAAACCATGAGAGAATAAAACACATTAACATTCGCTTCCACTTCATTCGAGAACATGTGAAGGAAGGAAGTGTCAAATTGAGGCATCTAGCAAGCAAGGATCAAGCAACAGATATTTTCACAAAACTATTGTCGAAAGAAATTTTCGACAGAGACAAGAAATTGATAAGCATGATGAATGGAAGAAACATTTAAGTTTACAGAGGAGTTTTGTTGAATAAACTTTAAATGTTACTAGTAGTGGAGTTTTTATTAATAAGGTAGTGGAAATGTTAAAAATCAAATGTAATTGGAAGGCCGAGAGATAGTGGATTATAATAGTATTTACTAATAGCATTTACTTTCTTAGAATAGTAGAAGTTTTTACGTCTATATAAAGACCAGGATTTTTATTTTATTAAACAATAAGTTATAAAAATTTGTTTCTTTTCTCTAAAATAGATGCAGTTGTCTTAACCAAAGGGGAACGACTATGAAGATGGAAGAATCCAAGAAAGATAAATGCTCTAGGTTGGAGGTAGAATAAATCGATGAGAGAGACGAGTTTGAATGCTCTAAAGCATGAGAGATGAGAAATTTATTTTGATGGAAATGTACTGAAACATGAGAAAGAGTATTACCCGGATAAAAGCAAGGACCTTTAAAATTGAGAGAAGAAAAAATCGTCACCTGTCTCAAAAGAAAATTTTGATTGGTCAAGAATAATTGATGTAGTCCATTACCAAAATGGGTATAATTTAATATAATTAATTTTTGTTATGAAGGATATATTAGATAGATCATTAGTTTGTTTCATGCTTAGGTAGATAATTGATAGGTGCAATATTTACGATAGACTAAATCTTATCACATCCTTTAATAACATCTTACTATATACTTCATTAGTCTCATATTATAAATAAATTTTATTTTTTTAATTCATTAAATAATTAATATGTCTTGTCTATATATAATTTAAATAGATTAATTATTTAATAAATTTAAAAAAAGTAAAATTTAATCGAACAAGAAAATATATAGAAATCCAAAGATAAATAATCCAACTACTTCGTAAAAGCAAATTTTGTAACTAATAATGGTTCACATAAACTTTTGTGAGCATTTGTTACTGTTCTTTCATTTCAACTTTATCAAATTAACGACATAAATATGATACTCAAATGATCATTTCTCAAATTTTTGCGCTAACATGGCAACATCCCCTACCTCAATAATTAATTTTAAGAGTGCTTTAAAGACACTACATCAAGAATTGAATATTACTATCTAGAATTTTTACTTTTATTGGGGATCATATTTGAGTACTAACGAAGGTGTCTAAGAACACTTTAACGCGTGAAAGAGATAAATATGTTTCTCACGAAGAAGAAGGTATTAAAATGTGGAGTGTTAAGGGCTTCATCTATTCAACCTCAATAGGGAAAATTTTAGTTTATTCTAAAGAAGGTTGTGGTGAGAAACAATTGATCAAATGTGGGAAAGAAGATGCAAAGTAAATAATGGGGTGGCAGTCGTTGCAGTGAAAAAGTTGGAGACAAAGGCATTTGAGCCATGGATATGTTCAAAGAAGTATAGACATGAAGGGACAACATCGAAAGATGGAAACCATAGAAATTCTCAAGTAATAAATGGGGGAGTAGAGATTATAAGATCTAGATTTATTGCTCTTAATAAAGAGGTGATAAAAATAGAAGTTATGAATATTGAAAATCACGAGGATCCTTTAGTTGCGTATGTTTCATTCTAAAATTTGCCGATTAATTTATTGTCATCTTGTTTAGGCTTAGGCTTCATACTCATGTACATATCTTCCATTAGATCACACCATAACTCATGCATCCACTAACAATTGAGACTTGAGACATTGGATCAAAGAATCATTAAGGTTGAGGTCTCTACGTGGTTTGAGGCTTCTGATCTACACTCTGCAAGCTTGGTTTATTTGGATTCCTCTTTGAATATGGATAGGGTTGGGCTCAATAAACATCATGAGTTTCTTTTGTTTTCATTTTCACACAGTTTTCTCAAAGCATCATCTCAAAAAGAGTTTGAATTACATAGAGTGGAGTTTGGAGTTTCAGTAAAGATTTGTCATCGTCTATAACTTGGTTTAGGGTTTTGACTGAATTCGTGATTTGAATCAAAGAGCTCAAAGCATTGTGGCATTCATAGGGTACTTGAGACTTAAGTCACTTCTTTATGTCTTTCACAATCTCATAACCATCTTCACCTTACTCTTCATGTTCATCACTTAATCACTCATTAAAGTGGTCATGATTCTCAAATCATTTTCAAGAATTTATGCTCACGGATTGGTTTTAAGATTCAAGAAAGATAGATTCAATTTTGATTTTTGTTCATTCAATACGACAAAACTCATTCAAGTTGCAAATTAAAGAGATTTTAGAAATTCAAAAGTAAGCATGTGGAGTAAACATTGCTAAACTTTGACCTTTTGAGCAAAATTCTTTTTAAGCCTTTCTTCTTGGTTATCATCACAAAAGGGCTTAATCATTCAAGATGCAAGAAGTGTGAAATTGGAATGTTTATTCAAGTTCTACTTTAACTATTTGGAATTCAAGAAATACTACAAAGTCATAATGCCAATTTATTACAAGATTCTAAGTGCAAATGCATAATGCCATTTTGTTACAGGATTCTAAGTGCAAATGCATTAAAAAAAGGAAATGAAAACTAAAAAGGATAACATAAATGGTCTAGTCGAATCTTGTTAAACTATTTACCAATGGCCATTTACCAAAACACCGACTCTGTTGACTATTCCCTAAGCCTACTTGCAAGTTGTTTCTCTTTGAGCCTCATCTCTCTTCATGCTTGAAACTTGAAGTCATGTATACTGCAACTTCAAGTAACTTCAATTTGAAACCTTTTACTATTAAACCTACATGGGACGTAATGAACAGCCTCCACCACACCAACATGTAAAAAAACCAGTCCATGATCAAAACCTATCTCAATCAACCAAACCCTTGTTGATATCCAAACTGTACAAATTTGCCCTGCGTATTATCAAGAAAAACCAAAAAAAAGTTCATCAGAAAATCCGGAGTAAAAACCACATCATAAATCGCTCTGCATCATTCTTCAATGGTCGGCCTGCTTGCAGTTTTAAAACCAGTTTGAGGTTTGATTAAAACAGAGATTGGAAAATGAGTGCAAGTTCAGATTTTAGAAGCAGATATACGAGGAAAAGAAAATCGTGAGATAAAGAAGAAAAATCCAACACCAGTTCAAGAATGATCATTCCAAAAAAGGCCTTGCATAAGTATTAAATCAGAAAACATCAGAAACAGGGGAAAACCGGTTCACAAGATCCAAAAACCAGGAAAATAAAAACCAGAAGCAAAACAGAATTTCTAACTGACTTCTCAAACTCTCAACTGATTCCATAACTGACTCATAACATATTTGTAACCAAATTTAACATCACTAACGGAATATAAAAACCGATTCTCACCTTGATTCATTCACTCTCCAATTTGTGGAAGAATCACCAAGAAATCTCCACAAAAATTCTCTCTGCTTTCTGCTTCATCATCTTCACCTTCCAACGAAAAACGGCATTGATCTTCATCTCTCTGCAACCTCAATCAATTTGTTGTAACCCCCAATCATCTTCCTTACTTTCACCTTTTTCAACCTCAATTCCCTCACTATTTGAACCTCTAATCTCTCCCCCCTGCAATAAACTTTCAGAGGTTTATTTTCAGAAGAAGGTGTCAATGATTCATCCAAGAAAAACTCAGAAAATCGACAATAACAAAAAACTCAGAACAAAGAAACTCACCATGAAATTCTCATGATCCTGCTACAAACTTCATCATCTCCATCACTGTTTCTTCAATTCACCGGATTCAAGACTTCAATCTTCATCGTTTCAATCACAGGTTTGTAACCGTTTCAACACAGCATACTCCTCCGTCTTCATCTTTCTCATAGCAACAGTAGCAACGAATCTTGCTTCATCAACACAACGATTTCGTCGCACAACAACGACTCGTACATAACGCGGAAATACGAACAAGAGAAAAAGAATCCAGAAGAACGTTACCGGTAGCGTCGCCGTCGCGTTCGAATTTCAATCCGAAATGTTTAATTTATCCTTGGAGCGCGAGAGATCCGAGGAGCGTGTTTTGGTTGATCGGGAATCCGTGAGGGAAACGAACAGATAGAGGTTGAGAAGGGAGGAGAGGCGGAGTCGGAGGTGAGAAGCGGTTGAGCGGAAGAGGTAATCATGGAAACAAAAGGTGATTGAGATGTGGGAGGATTCGAAAATATGCAGAGAGGATGAGAGATGAGACAGGGAGGTTGAGGACGGTCACGGTGGGGGAATTGGCGGCGAAATCGTCAGAAAATCGGAGAAGAAGAGGTGGCCGCCGCGTCTGTGACAGAAGAGGGAAAAGGAATTTTTTGGGATTTCACGTGAAGTTTAAGGGTCATAACAAATTCTCAAACCCAAGTTTACTTAATCCCTTTCAATTTTATTTTTTTGTGTTTTGCTGTTTATTTGTTACTATCCGAATAAATAATAACAAAATGGAAATTTCTTTGGACACTTTTTAGTGATGGAAAAAATTCTTGAAAAAGGAAAAATATTTTTTGAAAATGTATTTTTTAATATTTTAGGTGTTTACGAAAATGTATCTATGAAACATCTACGTTTAATGTCTATTCAAAAATTTGAAAACATCATGTTTTTCTTGTTTTTCTCTTCTTTCTTACATTTAGTTCTTAATAAACTATAAAATATTTGATATATTTTTTAAAAGGTGTTTAATTTATTTGTTTATGGGGTTTCTTTTAGCTTGATTGATCGGGTGATTGAGTTTGAGTTAAATGGTTGTCATACTCTGTACCATTTTACTTATAATAAGAATGACTTTCAATTCAACGTTTATGTATTTTTTATCAATTAAAGTTCTTTGAATGAATAGTAGTTAGTAGTCAATTTTGTTACATAATTTAAGAATTAAAATTAATTTTCAAACTAATTATATTTGTAATCGTTGTCCCGCTATCTAAAAATAGTGGAATACTTTCGAACAATCACGATAGATTTTACATTTAATATTTGTTGTAATAAAAAAATAGAAAAATATATTAGTAAAATAAGATCAAATAGTGTGTCAATTTTATAAAGTTAACAAGATAATTTGAAAAGATGAAGGAATAACTGATCATGAACCTCTTTTGCAATAAGCAAGAGACAAAGAAATAAAAATATTGCATAAACATAAACACAATTGAGAATTTTAGCCATATTTTTTTTTTACATGTATCAGTGTCTATTTCAGAAATACATCTCCGAATTCACCCAAAAAAATGAAATTTCGTAACTTCGGAAATACATTTCTGAATTCAGCCAAAAAATGAAATTGTATAACTTCGGAAATACATCTCTGAATTCACCAAAAAATGAAATTTCAGAATTTCAAAAATACATATTCGAATTCATCCAAAAAAATGAAACACGGTGCGTTCAGAGATATATCACCAAATTCAAAAAGTAAAAACAGAATTTTACTTGAGATGGCTAAGAAGGTGTAAGGGTGGGGGGAGAAATTCCCTAACAAAATTGGATAGAGATTGTGGGTTTGTTGTGCATATGAATCCGAACCATGCTCACCTGCCTTGGGCCCATTATCATGTTTTTGAGCTTATGCTTCTAACAACAAGGTCCATCATGGACTCTGCTGATTGGGCCTCACGCCAATCTCTGCACCATAGTGCTTGCTCTAGCTCTACACCCCCTGTATAGAATTTTAATAATTCATTTTCTATTAATTTTTCTTGCTATTAATTTTGAAAAAAAAATTATGACAAAAAATGCATGAATAAAAATAGTAGAAAAATGTTAATTGATTTTAGATTTTTTAGAATCTAATCAGAGTTTCTACAGTTCATGTCTTGATTAATTGTTTTTGTCGCTATTTTTGTCATGATAGTTTTTTGATAGATTTTAGTGTCAATTTTGTTGGAAGTTGTTGAGACATGATTGAATAAGTTTCAAGGAGTTTCAAAGCTAATTAAAAGTGCAACCTTCATTAAGGAAATTTAAGGAGGATTTCGGTAGAGCTTTCTTATCGTTTGTGTGGCTTTGAAGAGGCAACGAACCTTCTTCGTTAGGTACCATCTAAGTCTTTTTACCTCTTTTTCATGCATCTGCATCTGAAGTCCTGGAGGTATCCAGGCATTGGCGTTAGACGTAAAGGTGTTTGGTAGGCTTGTAAGCCATATTTGTTTTGTTATTTGCATTCTTGTTTCTCACCTTTGTATGTTCCCTATAAGACTTTATTGTTTTTCTTCATTTATTATTGATTGATGTGTCACTCAATTAGAATTGAGATAACAACTTTGCTCACAGTGCATGTTTCCTATAGGACTTTATTTCTTTCCTTTATTTATTGTTGATTGATGGATCACTCAATTAGAATTGAGATAATTACTTCGCTCTCAGTGCATGTTCCCTTAGGAATAATCTTGTAAACTTTAGAATCACCATGTTTGCATGATTCCTTTATGATTCTTTCTGTATCTTTAGGAGATGTTTGCGTGAACTTTTAAATATGCTTGCTGAATTATATAGGCTTTCATATTGACTAAGTTATATCATCTTTGTATGTTAAGTATTGGTGTTATCTTTACACTCTAAGTCTTTAGTGCCAGTGAAATTGTTGATTGCTTTTGAGTTGATTTGTAATGCCTTAGGGTATAACCACTTATGCATGACCCTTAGGGGAACATTAGTGTTTTGTGTGTGACGCATTCATGCTATTTGATTGATGACTTGAAGTGTGTATTAGAGGCTTAGATCTATTTTATAATTACTTGCTTGTTAGGTGATACACTTAGGTGTTTGGTAGGCTTATAAGCCATTCCTTTTTGTTGTTTACATTCTTGCTTTGTCTTTGTATATTCCCTTAGGATTCATTTGGTTCACCTTTGAATAAAAGTAGACATTAGGTTTTTAAACCATGCATGCTAACATTAGGTAGATTTTTTCCTTTCAATTTTAACTTTAGGACTACCATTGTATGCCAATATTAGGAATAGAACTTCCCTTAGATTCTTCATTTCACTTTTGCATACATTAAGACTAAAACTTCTTTTTCTTAATCAAATGTTGAAAACATTTAACAATAATGATGCGAGCCATGCGGCACGATCCTTAAGCATTTGGGGGAGTATGATGGGGTTCATTCCCTAACTTTGAGATTCCTTTAAATCATAGTTTTTAATGTGGTTCAAATCACCAAATCTATTCTCAAGGTAAAATAGACTAAAACAATCCAAACCTTTTGCATTCGGGATGCCTCCGAGCCTTTTTCTTTTGAAAACCTTTTCAGGTAAGAACATGTTAATTCCTTTCTATGACAATTGTGTGAGTCCCCAAGGGTTAAGCGACAGTAGAATGCGAAATTGTCATTGTTCATTAAAAAACACAAATAAAAAGAAACTTTTGAGCCGGACTACAATGCTCTGATTCCTTAAAAGGGATACATATGCATTGGGTTGCAGGGCCTAAGCGAGCGTAACTATTTAAAACCTTTGTTTTCCCTGTATTTTTGTCTTTTTCATTCATGTATTCCATTATCTTGTAAGTTTAGATAGACACACCATTTGATTAGAACAACAAGAGTGAATCCTGTAGAATAACAGGACGCGAGGGGTGCAAATACCTTCCCCTTGCGTAATCAACTCCCGTACCCTTCTCTTGGTCGCAAGACCTTGTTTTTTCTTAGATTTATTCGATGTTTTACTTTCTCTTCCTTGGGATAAATAGCATTTGATGGCGACTTCGTTATTTTTCTAGTTGCTTCAACTTACATGCAAATTAAAATCATGCAGACCAGTGAAATAACGGTTAATAATCTAAAGCAGAAAAGATTCAATCACGAAGAAAATAATGAAATGGGAAATAAAAGAAAACTATGTGCAACAAAAAAAGGAAAAAACCAAGCAATAACGAGAGAAATATCCCTTTTGTCTCTCGTGTAATCATGAAGAATAGAAAGAGGAAAGGGATTGGCGTAATATTTAAGGAAGGGAATAAGGGTATAATTAATACCATAATATTTAAAGAGGTTTTTATCAAGTCAATGCAAAAAATTGAGTGGCGTGAGAAATACGAGTGACACGAGGAATGGGGAGAGACATATAATTTGTTAGTAGAATAAAAGTGTTTTGGACTGGGCCTGCCCTTGGCCCAAATCACAAGTAAGGCCCAGATCCAAATCGTGCCTCAAGCTATGTTAGGAACCAGATTCCCCGAGCATACCCAGTCACGGGCCGTTACGACTATGCCCGCCGCTGCCCGCAACGAGAGGCGTCCCCGACATGGACACCCCAACTCGAACCCTGCTCGAGCACCCTCCCCCGTAGGGCAGAATATGTCCCTCCAGATGCTTCAGAGTCTTTAGAGCTCTAGGAAGATCGCGTCTTCGTTCTTCCTTGTTCTTCGCAGAGCATCATCCAGGAAGGGGACCACGTGCAGGTCCTCACTACTCACGTAGAACCTGGCAGTCCCTTTGTTGGGCCAGTTTTGGTCAGCCTAATAAAGGGACCTTGGCCCAGCGCTGGGGGCTATAAATACCCTATGTTCCAAGAGGGTCAGGTATTCATTCTTTTACACACCTAGATACAATCCACCTGCTCATTCCGTTGCTTACTTTATCATCGGAGTGTCTTGCAGGTACCCCCCATCTCATTCAGATCCAGTTCGAGCCAGCTGTGGCGGTCCAACTCTGATCAGGTAAGATCAATGGCGCCGTCTGTGGGAAACTAAGCTTCCCCGTCTTGCAAATTCACGAAGACAAAATCTAAATCCATCCTAAACCTCCATGGCTGACTAGATTCAGCATCACCAGAATGTTTGTGTCGTCGATGCTAACAACAACCTCGCCGACAAAATGGTGGCCCCGACAACACCGGAAACCCCGACCATAACACACTCCCCGGGGGCACCATCCCCGGGCCCTCTAACTACCAGGATGGAGCCACGACTTCGTCTTCATCAGTCCTTCTTCGACTCGAAGAAGATAATCCGGTTCCCCTGAACCATCTAGCCGCTCAATTCCATGAAGTTCCTATTCCCACCGTGGCAGACGCCACGACCAAGGCACTGTTCGCGACAATCAACCAGACCAACTACCTCATCTTTTCCCAATGGGAAATACTGAGAGCACTAGAGGAGGACCGAAGGCCCCCGAGGAGACACGGGAGGCCTCAATCACCACCTCCCCGAAGAATGGAGGAACGTCCCCGATCTCCCCCGTGGAGACAAGACCGGGGCATCTCTCGAAGCCCGTCGCCCCGACCACCAGGGCGACGACCCGCCTTGGAGAGAGATCCAATCATCAAAGCCGGAAGGCGCGACCACATCCCTTCACGACAAGAACGAAGGCATCCTGGAGACAGACACGAAGGAACGTACCAACGGACACATCGCCCGAGGAACATCGAGCACGACGAGGGCCATCGCGACCGACAATATATCAGTTCCCCATTGTGATACGGTGGGAGAACTGACTTGAGTTTTGCGTTTATATTCGCACTTGTTCGGT